CACAGAAAGGAGAATTCTACTGCCTGAGGGTTATAATCCCTAAGTGCGGCCGAAGGCCGCCTACGCAGAAAGGTGTTCTATGCAAAAGGTGTTCGGCCCCTTTTCTTTGGTACCACAGAAAGGAGAATTCTACTGCCTGAGGGTTATAATCCCTAAGTGCGGCCGAAGGCCGCCTACGCAGAAAGGTGTTCTCTGCAAAAGGGGTTCAACCCCCTTTCTTTGGCAACACAGAAGAGAATTCTACGTAGTACTTGGGATAATTTCTTTTATTTAAAAATCCCACGTTTTTCGTTAGTTGGGTTATATTCCACTTGAAACTGCTCAGTTTGCCTCGGAAAATTACGTTTTTACCCCATTTTCAAACGGTTCCCTAGGGGTCTGTGGGAGGTCCCCAAGGGGGGGTGGGGCTTTTCGTAATGTGGCGGCTATCCCCTTTCGAATGAGGGGGGTTTGGGGGGCCCGCCCCCTCCCCCTCCGCCCCCCACCCCAAAAACGGTGGGCCAATAACTAAACATTTCCCGTTATAATTCCATATATGACTTCATATAAGTATATTATTCACAAAATATTTATGAAAAAAAATAGCTTTTGGGGCACACTGCCAAGAAACAAAAACTTTTCTAAATGCTTTCCAGAAAAGTGATTTCTACTTTGTGTACTACATGACCACACTTTCCGCGAAAACTCTAATGGACCTGAGTACACTACATGTTCAGTCGGACTGAGCAGTCCACCACTCGAACGCACACTGGACTGGGCAGTCGGCCGAAAACAGGTTTCAGTTTTGCACATGCAAACAAAACGAAATAGAAAGTATGTTGTCTATGTGTGCGTATCAGTCCACCGTCAATCCTCGATTTTTGCGGACTGAAATGAGCGAGGTAAACTCGAACTCTCTACCCCCTCTTAACCAAACAAAACCGGTTTTAGGCGGACTGAGCAGTCCAGTGTGCGGATGCCCATTAACGGGCGTCATTTGTTGAGTTGCCGTTGCAATAATAAATGTGTAGAAAATATACTTACTCGATACCGAACAAAAAAGTATCGAGTAAAAAAATACTTGGTATCAAAAGAAAAGTATCGAGTATTTACTTGTATTTACTTGTATCGATTGAACCCTAGTTCTGGTCTGGTTCTTTGGTAAAAGTGCGTGCTTTCATTGTTGTGGATTTACAAATATCGTTGCAATAACTTTTAGTTTCTATTGAAATAAATTCTGCTTCGGATTATACGGCCAATATGTCACAGGTGTCAAATAAATCCGGGACCGGCTGGCCGAGAAGAAGTAGTCAGGGTCAAGTGGACGGCAGTGTAAATAATGGTTTGCAAAAATATTCATCTGGTCAGTGTTTGGCCATAAACCGGACAATCAATTTGTAAGTATATTGTTTGGGTTGAATATTTCGGGAAATATTTGCTTATAGGGAGTTTACATGATTCTACTTTCACAGGCGATTAGTTGAATCAAAAGTTGAACGAAAGTAGGCAGCCGACCAACTTCAATGAAAGCGATTAGTTGAAAGGCCGTTTACACCAGGCGATTGTTGCTTTCAAATAAAAATCGCCTGAAAAATCGCCTCATGTATATTCCCTATTATTTATACAACGATTTGTGGTTTGGGAGGAGGAGAAGGGGGTGTGGGCCCCCAAACCTACCTTAAACGAAAGAGGATGGACGACGCTCTTTGAAAGGTCAACGCTTCCCCCTCACCCGCCTAAAAACCCCTTGGGAGCTGTTTGATAATAGAGGAAATTTGGATTTTTTCCAAAGGGATTATAACCCTCACTTCTCCTTTCTCTGTTGCCGTAGAAGAGGTGCTGAACACCTTTAGCAGAGAGCATCTTTCTGCGTAAGCGGCCTTCGGCCGCACTTAGGGATTATAACCCCTTTAAAAAACAACTCATCATGTGCTTGTTTATTGTAAAACTGGCTAATTTTACATATTTTGAGGAAACTGATGGATTCTGATGCATTTGCAATTATAGCAACGGAGTAAGAGGGCGCTATGGTAATGGATTCACAAAGGTATGCGGAGCTGTCTGGCATAGTAACCATGGGCGCATCTATGTCAGCTTCTGGTTGAATTGTTGAACCACAAGCCAGAACTCTTCCTATGCCTTAAGCTCTGGTTCTCAATCCAGTAAATGCATTAACAGCTTCTTCCAAGCCTTTGAAAACATGCACTTTGTTAGGTCCACCACCTGTTGCGCTTGCTTCTGCCTTCGGCCGCGCTTAGGGATTATAACCCTTACTAAGTAGAATTCTCCTTTCTGTGTTGCGGGGAAGAGGGGCTTCCGCGTGTCAAAGGTATACAACATTTCTTGTGCATATCACTCCGGTTACCCCGTCCACAGTATTTTTGCGCAGAACCCACGTCGAAATTTTCAAAAAAGTGCATAGTGCAAACCGAGTTTATTAATAAGCTAGCGTTGGAAATTTGAAACATTTATCATAAATAAAATGTGAATCTTTTGATTACACGTGTAAAGCCCCTCCTCCGCCCCCACCCCAAAAACGATGGGTGGGCTACTAAACATTACCCAATCGTTGCGTTTCAGCGTTAACCAGGTATCTTCAATTATTGCGAAAAAAAATCGTTCCCACGACAGTCGGGTCTACGTAACCGGAACGACCCAGATTTCCACCCGTATGCTGTAATCCGAAAGTCTGTAGTTACGAATTCGTAGCTCCGTTCCGAAAATTCGAAAATTGGTATGTTGTAATCCCATCGTATCTATCAACGGCGTTGCCAACTAAAATAGTGAAATTCGAAGTTCTTAATCAGCTGCTTTGACACAAACAAATCCAAATAAATATATTCGCAAGTGAACAGTAAGTAAAATATAATGGATTCAGTGGCCGGTGCACTTTTGTCTCAGGAGAAAGAACGCGCTTCAGCCAACTGTTGCGTTAATATAAAAAGGAGATTGCTACGAGACAGTTCTGATCCATTTAGCTTAAATGATAAATGTATGCTCCCTCTTTTTAAGGGCGTCCATTCAACTAGATATTGTGCCGCTTTAATTCTTGCAACGCTTTCCCAAAATTCCACCACATCCTCTTTAGCTACTTTTACAAAGCCTCTGGCAATGTCCGGCCTTTCGCTCATGCATTCCACCATTTTTTCGTATTGCGAGCGATTTGTTATGATCTTGGACTTGATAATTTTGTTAACATTTAATAATACATTTTTTTATTCGCACTTCAACTTGCATACATATTTTTGCGTTTACACACTTTATTTTATTGATATTTTAATACATGTTGTTTCGCTCCGACACGAGTTGCTATTCGTACAAAATTTCCGACAAATACATAAAAATAGCAGCTACGTCGGATTCAGGCATACCAACATTACGAATTTCGAAGATGGCCTACGAATTTCCAAACTATGCTACGACAACACAGATTTCAGCATACCAATTTTACGATTCGTAGCAAAATCGAATCTACGACGGATTACAGCATAGGGGTGCTATATTTGGCCAAGGACTGTCACTCCAGCAACACTCCCCAAAAACTCTTTGGGGAACTTGTATGCTGCTACAACAACCACAACAACAACATTTATTGCGAAAACTAAAAGCCATTTACAACACTTTAAGCGTCATCCTATTTGAAAAAAAAACGTACTGAACCCACTCACAAGAGGTAGTAAAACCAGAAATATTAAGTATGTATAGATTTCGTTTATTTTATCCTAATGAAGGAAAGTATATCTGTATTTCTTATTACGATCTCTAAAATGTCTGTATCAGACGCGAGGTTAACGCATAAATGGGCCGAAATGGTATGCACACATTTCCCAGCAAATGCTATAGCTTTTTATTACAACGCTTTTATCAACTTGCAATGTTGTATGTCCAGACTAGAGATGGGCACGGGCCTAAATTTTCAAGCCCGGCCCAGCACGAGTGCAAAATCAGCTTTCAGAAACGGGACACGTCCCAGAACGGAAATAACCCAGTGGGAATTAGGAGCACGTAATAATACCTTATTAGCAACTTACTCTTCACCTGGCAGTCATTACCATTTCCCTGCCGAACGTCCCTTACTTTTACAAAGGCATGGCCGCCTTATGTAAATAGGAATTTAGAATGTACATTTGGTATCAGACATACTTCTGAGCCGCTTTACAAAGTAAGTTACTAGTAATGCAGAGCAGTCGCTCGGAGTAGTTCGGTGCTTGGAAATAACTTCGGCTGCACGTTATTTTGCAACTGACAACGTAATGTGTCTTCGGAGGTGTTCATTTTGCCCTTTACTAGTAGATGACATTGGCCATGATGACAATTTTGGTACTAAAAACTGAAACAAAACATGGCTTACCTCGCAAGGTGCTTACCTATTTTCCCAGTGGGAAAGAACCAACTTTTATTGAATGTATACATATCTACATATTTTTAATTATGTGTTTATGTATGTATATTTACTTAAGCGAATCAATTTTTTACATCAAATATGTTTATAATATATTTTCTGGGAAGTAGAAAAAGTGGAAAGTTTTAGGTACAGATATGTAAACAAAACCACAAAGTATCATATTTTTTTCTATCGGTTTCCAAATACTTCTTTTTTAGCTTTTCTCTTATCAAGAGTTTTAAATATGTACTATTTTTTTTGTATAAAAACAAAAGCTTATCTAAATTTTTAATATTAGCAACGGGCTTTTTCGTGCTTTTATGAAATTTTACTGAACGCCCATGCACGCACGAGTTCGTGCTGACAGCAAATATTCCCGCCCGTACCCGCGGGCTTCCGCAGGGGCCCGCCGGGCCCCTACCAAAAGCCCGGCACGTGCCCATCTCTAGTCCAGACCACCATTTATACTAGGTGCATTCTTTTGCAACCGAGCTACAAAGGAACACTCTCTTAAATTTTTTTTTTTTGTAATTATATTTGCATTTGTTTGTTGGATCTGCTTACTTTACATCTATTAAGCCTAACAACAAGTTTAAAAATCTTACGTCTAATTTTACAATAATGTAGCTCAAACCCTGGGGTTGAGCCCTGTTGGTTTAACGTCGCTCAATTAAAGGCTGGTAAATCTCTTCTTCGCAGGCGTGATATATTTGTTGTACTTGCCAGTGGATTTGGGTGGTTACGCAGTTTTATTTTGTATTTTTCTCTGCTGCTGTCGATTACAGATTTAACCATCGGTATACAAAGGTCTCTATGTATATTTTCATTGCGGACATACCACGGTGCTCCCGTTAAGGCCCTTAGCGTTTTAGATTGGAATCTTTGGGCCCTGTCAATGTTGGTTGCACAGGTTGTTGTTGTTGTTGTAGCAGCATACAAATTCCCCAAAGACTTTTTGGGGAGTGTTGCTGGAGTGACAGTCCTTGGCCAGATATAAATCTGGGTCGTTCCGGTTACGTAGACCCGACTGTCGTGGGAACGTTGGTTGCACAGGTCGTACCCCACAGTTGAATACCATACATCCATATAGGCTTAATTATATTAGTATTAGTATTATATAGTAGTATTAGTATTATATACAAGTACTTTATAATCTAGTTTCAGTTTTGATTTACTGTTTATAAGCCAGTTCACGCTAGCTGACTTTAGCTTCATTTGTGTAATCTTGGTTGATATGTGTTTGCGCCAAGTTAGTCTCCTGTCCAAGTGTATTCCTAGATATGTCACCGCATTGGCTTGTGGAATATAGACATTATTTAATTTGATTGGGGGGCATACTTGCGGTCTGAGTGAAAATGTTCTATGTTTACTCTTCTGTTCGTTGACTTTTATGCGCCAGTTTGCCAGCCATTCTTCAATGCGTAGTAAATTTTCCTCTAGTACTCTTGAAGCTCTGTTGGGACTTTTATTACGACTTACTAAGGCGGTATCATCAGCGAAGGTGGATGTGAGTATATTCTTGCTAGTTAGAATATCTGAAGTGTAGATGATATACAGCATAGGCCCGAGTACACTACCTTGAGGAACGCCAGCCGTTATCGACATGTCTTCTGAAGTGAAATTAGATACTTGAACAGCAAATTTTCTGTTAGTTATGTATGATTCAAATATTTTGTGGAATTCCGGCGGCAACAATTTTTTAATTTTATATATAAGACCGTCGTGCCACACTTTGTCGAATGCTTGTGCCACATCGAGAAAAATTGCAGAGCAGTACTCTCTGAGCTCAAATGCCCTTCTGATTTCATTTGTAATTCAATTTACTTGTTCAATTGTACCATGTTTTTCTCGGAAGCCAAATTGGTGTGCTGGTATTAAATTGCGTTCATCGAGAAAGGGTGATATCTTTGATAGGAGTACTTTTTCGAATACTTTGGAAAGACAGGGCAGTAAGCTTATTGGTCTGTATGAGAACGGCTGTGTTGCGTCTTTTCCAGGTTTGGCTATCATGAT